GCACTTGACTGTTAACCAGAAGGCTGGCAGTCCAAACCCACTAGCCACTCCTCAGAAGGAAGGTTGGGCAGTCTACTTCTGTGGTGATACTGCCTCGGAAGACCAAGGAGGGGTCGCTATGAGTTGGGTCCGACTTGACGCACATAACAACAACAACAACAATCTTTCTGGATAATTGATACTGCAATGTACCTTTAAGTAGGAGGTAACAAGGAAATGTCCAAAGACAAAATTACCCACTATTTGGCTTTTTTCATCCATTTTGAGCATCATAGCACAAGGTGGAGAAAACTGTAGTGGGACTCAGGAGATCTGGATTCTAGCCTTTTATCTTCTACTTTCTTTCTGTATGACCCTAAATAAGAAGCATAATCCCTTTGGATCCTCATCAGCAAAATGGGTGTAATAGTTCTCCTATTAAGTGATCACTACCAGTGGTCATGCAAACTGTTAAAGCTAGAGTTAAAGCTAACTTAAAGGTTAGAGGTTCGAGTCCACCCAAAGGTGTCGTGGAAGAAAGGTCTAGAGATCTACTTCCAAAGAATCACCCATTGAAAACCCTATGCAGCACAGTTCTACTCTGTAACACATAGGGTTGGCATGAGTCAGAATTAACTCTCTTGAGTTAACTGGTATGAATGCCCAGATTTATCACAGCAGGGGTTGCTGAGTGGCCTGCATAGAAAGAAGAATGCTCTGAATGTGTCAGACTGGGGCTGGGACAAGTAGTTGGGCTGTTTGACAGATTCTCCTACATATCCATAAGCTTTCAATAAATTCTGAGTAGCACAGTCATATTGGCCTATTTATTTATGAAATCAGCATAAGGGATTATGACAGTGTGCACTGAAAACTATATAAGTGCAAGGTAGTGATGGTGGTGGTGGTAGTGCTCATATTGCATAAAATGATACAACATCCATAAAGTGCCAATTACAATGCCATGGCAAAAAGACAGTAAATGGTAACTCCCTACCCATCTTTTAAATTACTCATGGATGTTTCATCTCTGAGCTGTCAACCTCTTCTCCAAAGGAATTATTTAAAATGAAATTAATTAAAATTATGCCAACAGATGCTATCATGAGACATGGCTAGTTTGTACACAAATGATTGAGTTGACTATTGAATTACTGACTTGACTTGCTTTTGAATTCCTCTCCTTGTTTCCGTCATCTAGGATTTAAATACCTGGCTTAGATCAGGTGACTTTTGAAAAATTTTCTTAAGCACCCCTCACCAAAACCATCATTCCTTCAAAACCATCATACCTAGGCCATTTCGGTGTTTGTCCTATGGTGGTTATTCCAATTTCTAGATGCCTCAGTTCTCCCCTGGCTCTACTAAGCTGTCTCTGTGTTTTCCCCAGAGTGCCGAGTCATGAAGGGAAATCCATCAGCCACAGCTGGCCCAAAGGCATCCCCAACGCCTCAGAAGAGTTCAGCCAAGAGCCCTGGTCCTATGCGTCGGAGCAAGTCTCCAGCTGACTCAGGTAACGACCAAGACGGTGAGTGCCCTTCTCCTAACTGTGCACGCTGACTTCATTTATGGAGACAGACACCCTCTGCATGCAAGAGGAATGAGTTCCTCATGAATACCACTGTATCTCCATGATACTAATTCCCTCAATTCAAGGAACAAAACAGGCAAACTTGTACGGAGTCATGGAGACACAGCCACTGTCCCTATTCTATTAAAATGGATGTAGACCAGAACTCTGGTCTATTTGCCATGCTTGCTATGATGCTTGTTGTTATCATTGTCATCATCTTCAACATCATCCAGTAAAAATATATTCAAAGAAATAATAAAGTCA